GGGGGAGGAAGAGGGATGGGGGGATCGGGTAGGATGGTTACAACCGGGCGTGGAGAGGCGGCCCGGCCGGGGCGCCGGTGTGTGGTGTGCTTACGGAAAAGGAAACGTGCGGGCATGGCGGCGCCGGGAGCATGGGTGTGCCGGCGCGTGTGTGCCCTCGGCCCGGTGATGCCGTGGACCCGGGCCCGCCCGTCGCGGTCTGACCTGCCCGGCGGTGGGGGCCCGAGCCCGGCGGCGGTGATCTGGGCCCGGGGATGGGAGTTGGTTCTCCGGCGCTCCGGTCGCCGGCCCTCGGCATCTGCCGCACATGTTCCGAGCCGGGCTCCCCCCTCACCCGGGCGAAGCCCCCATCTGCTGGCGGGAGGGGGGGGGGACGCCATGCCCGCGCCGGCCGGCCGGCCGGGGGACACATGTGTTCGGGGCGGCGGAGATTTTCAACATTATAAACACATGACCCGGCCCGTGACCGGGTACATTTCACCTAGTGCGATACTGGGTTTTGGCCGGCCGCGCCTCCCCTGCTGGCGGAAACCGCGCGGCCACGGCGGGGCTATGTCCCCGCCTCTGCTTCTCGAGCGGCCGAGGGGCGGCGGCGCGCGCCCGGCCAGCGGACGCGCCTCTGCCGGCGACAAAGCGAACCGGGAGGGGAGGGTCGTCTGCTGCCTGTTGGGCGGACGGCAGAGGCCAGCCCCGCGGGGCTTGCGGGGGGAGTGGTGCGGGCAGGAGCCAGCCGGGGGGGCCGAGGGGGCAGGGTCGCCTCATGCCGCGAGAGGAAGGGGAGAGAAAGAGCGAGCATGCCCCCCCCGGACTGTCCGGCGCCCGCGGGGGGGGGGGGGGGGGGGATGGGGGGTGAGAGGCTGGGGCGGGGCCGGGAAGGGCAGGGCGGGGGGCCGTGCTCCGGATCATTGATAAGTCGGTCGGCCCGTGTGGGGTGGAGCGGTGCCGCGCGCGGCCGATGCACCCTTTCGGAGTGCGCAGTGATGTGGCGGCGGGGCAGGGCGCTGCTGTTTCGAGGATCCAGCATGTAGAGAAGGTGCACGTGTGTGCGCGCGCGCACGTCCGCCACGGCCATTGGGTCTTCCCCACCCCCCGAGCCGCGCCCGCCCCCGCTGCGCCTGATTTCGGGCCACCGTCATCGCCCCCACGGGAAGGGGGCGCCAGCCCTGCCCAAAAAGGGCCGAGCGGGACACACACTGGTCCCAGCCGGGGGGGGGGGGGGGGCGGGGCGTGTGGGATCTCGGCGAGCCCGCGCACACAGGACGGTGCACTTTCGGGCAGGAGGCGATGATCGGGCATGGGGCCCCATCCGGCATGTGGTGGCTGCCGCGCGCGCTCACCACTTACCCTTTTCAGAGATTCGCGCTGACAAAGACAGGTGCACGATCCACCGGCGCTGGGACGCGGGGGGGGGGGGGGGGGCACCGCGGGCGGGTGATGCAAAAGCCCAGCAGCGGGGCGGTTCTTCGCCGGGGTCTCTCACCGCCCGCTGCTCCCTGGGGGATGGCGGGCGGACCAGTGATCGGCCGCCGGGGTCGGACGTGCGGGGGGCGTCCAGCATGCCGGCGGCACTCGGGCCAGCCGGACGGGGGACCTTGTGTTTTGGCCCCCGGGCGCGGGGGGGGCGGGGGGATCAACACGCAGTCTCCCGGCGTTTGGGCGAGCGAGTGCGCAGGTGTGTGAGCCAGGGTGGTGCTTTCCACGGCACAGGCCCCCCGCCGCTTGCTTGCGCGTGTGGGGGACTCTGATTGCATCCCCCCCCCCCCCCCCCGGGAAGAAGGCGGCCCCGTCAATGGGCACTGGCTTCGGCGCCGGAACATACGCGCGCATCCGGGCGGGCCATGTCTCGCGGCGAGCCCGCACCCCGGCAGGTTGGGCTCCAAACCTGGCCCGTGCGGGGGATTTGCCCCCGAATTGACGATCGATTGACTCCCACAGCCCGTGCTGCGCCAGCAATCCCCCTGCCCCGCACGCATGTCGAGCGATATGCCCCCCCCCCCCCCGCTCCCCCGCTCCCCCGTCCCCCGTGCCCCGCTCAGATCCCACTCCCTGTGCCGCCGGAGTGTGGCGCCTGCGATCAAGGTGCCCCGGATTCTTCGGCATGTCCCCAGTCCGGGGGCGATCTCATCATCATCATCAATGCCCCCCTCTGCTCTTCCCGTCCCCCCTCCCCTCGACTGTATATTCCTCCCCCCTCCCCCTTGTTCCCCCTTTCCCTCCGCCTCCCCCTTTCTCTCCGCTCCTCTTCCCCCCTTTCCCCGAGGATCCGCCATGAACCATCCCCCTGGGTTCAAGATCCTCCCTGAGGCGGTCCAGCAGGTCGGATACACCAATTACCAGCACATCGGCTTCGGATCCTTCGGTGCGGTGTATTCTGCTCAGCGTCCGGTGCGCCTCCCGATTGTCTGCTTCTCTCTCCCTCTCTCCCTCTCTCCCTCTCGTCCTCTTTCTTCACTGGCGCCAGTGGCCCCCCTGCGTACACACCCACAAAGATGCTCGCACCTTCGCCCGGCCGACTGACATGCCCAATCGCTTTCCCTTCTCCCCCCCCCCCCCCCGGGACATGTGCCTCACATGCAGGACCATGCCAATGTGGCCTTGAAGATCCTTTGCGTGGCCGACTCCACCCAACGGGGCTCGGAGAACCTGAACTCCACGACCAATGTCGAGAAGGAAATCCGCTTCATGGAGGGCTTGTCGAAACTCAACTCCCGTCATCTCCTGACCCTGTATCGCGTGCACGTTCGTGGCCTCCCCCCTCCCGTGTCCCCCTCTCCCCGTCTGGCCGGCCCTCGCTGCCTGTTTCTTGTGGCCTCATTTCTTGTCCTTCCACTCC